GGACTGCAGTCAGGCCTGCCAACTCATTCCAGGTCTGTCAGCCCAAACGCCATAGAACAACCTTCTCCCTTGGGCTGGCCTGTGTTACTGAGCTTTCTCCAGCCTGCCCTTTCAGGTGCCCCAAGAGCCAGAGAGACAGAGACTGCTTGGAGATCATTTCCCAGAGCAGTGCTGCCAACCCAACCTGGGAATTTAAGGGCCTGGTTACAGTTTGAGAGAGGTAGGTATGGGCAGCAGGACTTGGGGAGACGGCTGCTCTCCACACATAACCCTCCCCTCAATAGCTGGCGCCACTCCAGCAGGAGCCAGTGAGCACCAGTGGTGGAGGGTAGGCTCCAAAGGTTGTCAGTGGGGTGGAAATCCTATCCTGGGTCCAGGGAAAGGTGGACAGAAGCCTCTAGCCATCGACACTTTGGTGTGTGCTTCTCTCAAAGACAAAAATCCTCAAATCCAAATTTGCAAAAAAATTTTTTAAACTGTCTATCCTTAAAGGATGATATGCTATAAATTTGGGGAATATAGCAATTTGTTAATGCTACAGATCAAGCCATTCTATTTTCTTTTCATGTGCTAAGATTCCCTGACCAGAGCACTCAGGGAAGGGGTGCTCCAAAATTCAGTGCGGGGAACAAGGTTTCTGGGCTGTCTCTAAAGAAGCTGAATCCCCATAGATGCTAAATGACACAGGCTGATTTCAAAACGAAAAGTGCAAGGAATGAGCTGGCCAGGAGAGGGCCTTCCTTTGCTCATCACATTTGCTAAGCCACCCATCTGGAGCCACTCAGCAAACACCTGCTGGAATCCACACAGCTTCTCCAGGCCTCCTCTCCTTAAGCACATCGCCTCCTTCCCACACAGCTAACCTCTCTCAGAAATGCTCTAAGGCAGAGGGTGGTGCATCTTGGCAACACTGGCTTGTTACTCTAGTGTACACAGAGTCTGTTGTACAATTGTCTCCACATTTGCAAAGGCTAAAGAAGAGCCACCACTTCCCTTTTTTCATGACTGTTGAGTCTTTAAGTGAGGCTACTCCCCACCTTCCATCCATGAAAACCAGCTCGGTCCAGCAGAGATATTTCTAATGCTGCTGCTAATTATATTCTCACAGAATCTGGCTCATTCTCTAATTACTTTACTAGCTGTGTGATTGGGAAAATTACTTCACCTCTCAGTGCCTTTGTTTCCTTATCTTTAAAATGTCTCCATTAGTAGCGTGTGTCCCATAGATTGCCATCATAATTAAATGAATTCATATATGTGAAAATCTCTAGAGCATACTGTAAATATCATTGGTGGTTTCAAAACCTTGTGTCAAATACCTACCTATAAAGCAAATCTCATCAGTTGATTATTGCAAAGATATTGCAGCAGCACAGAGCCCACCTTCAGGCTCCCTCCAACTCAGATCTCTTCTCAGTCCCATGAAATCCAGCAAAACTTAAATCCTGTGATACAGTGGGTGGCTGTTATATAAACATACACCTGTATATCATGTGGCATATGTAATTATACTTGTGATGTGTATAATTATAAATGAGAAGCTGGCTCCCCTTCAAGATCAGCTGGAAAGTTTCTGTCAAGAATTCAGCAAGAGTGTCCCTTACCTTTGAGCATCAACCTGAGCCTGAGGAGGACATGTGTCAAGAGCAATTCTGCATAATTTGGGGGGAAAATCATGATTAGGGCCCTAGTTTTTCTGTCTACAGGCCAGCTACAGACATGTCAAGACATAATTTCATCTTCGCCTCCGGCCACAGCTAAGACTTCAAGGGTCCGGAGATGCTGTTATAGCCCACAGCAGGACTGCACCAGTGCGAGACATCCTGGGAGGAACCAAATCTTCATCGGCGTAGTTCTCCTTGTTCTAGGATTTCTGCTGCCCCCTGAGTCAGCTGTTACATTTGTTTCTCCCCATGTATTGAACTCTCTGTCCGGAGACCTTGGTTACATTCGTTTCTCCCAGTGTACTGAATAAAGGCGTGGCAAGCTCTGGGGGCTTCTGTGTTCACTGCCCAGAGCAGCCTGGATCAGGCCCAATGCTCAGCTTCTTTTCAAAGTCTCATTTTTCCTATCTTTCCTGTATAATAAGTTCATTCACCTTGTGCTGTCATGGCTTGCAGGACACTAGGACTTATTACAGAGGTTCTAGTAATGTCCCCTTTCCCTGTTCCCTACAGACATGCTTATCTTGCTGGACATTCAGTGTCTGCTTTGCATAACCAAATGCTCAAGAACATTACGGCACAACACTGCAGGCTGAGACGAGGTTCCTGCCCCCAGATTCTCAAACCTTACTGAGGCCAAAATGAGTTCACTGTGCGAACCTTCAACTGAGATCTGATGGGATGAAAGTAACTACCACAAAGCTAGGAAGTCTGCCAGGCCCCATGTCAAATACTCTAGGTTCCCTCATTTGCTCCTTATAATACCTGTATTGTAGACAAACTCTGTTTTATCCCCATTTCATTGAGAAAGTAACTGAAGCTTAGGGAGGTTAAGTAACTCTCCCGAGGACACAGAGCTAGCAAGTGTCAAAACAAACTTTACCCGACTCTTCCTGAGCCTGTGATCATAACCATTATCATTTAGTTCTAGTGACTTTCAAGTCATTTTACAAAGCAATATACCATATCAGACTATTTTGCATTGGAATGGTTGTATGAGATATGGATCCTTAACCAAGATGTCTCAGTCTCCTCTCGTTGAAAATTAAGTGCTTTGATGACTCACACTGCATGGTCTAGCAGGGGCTTCTTCCTTTAAGGTCAGAACCCTCAGAATATTCAGCTACAGATCTGAGATTGTGCAGGTAGCTTTCAGATGTGTTACATGAGGATTTATCCTCATCCTGTAAGAAGTACTCATTGAATCAGCACATTTGCCCCATGTCTTTAAGAACAGATACCTAAACTAAACTTACAAGTTATGAATAGCTTGAATTCTTCACTGCCATATATTCTCTCATATATCATATCCCATGGTTATCACATTGCTTAGTCTAAGATCCTTACAACAATGATTTTCAAATAATGGGCTGAGCCATCCAGAGGGTCATGTGTCTAGGTCAGAATTTTTTATTAAACAGAATAATGCATACTAGAAAATAGAGTACATCACATGTAGTAAGAGTTAAATAGTGGTACAGGAAAGGAATTTAGGTACATATATGTTTAATGTGTCACCATATAAAATGCATTTTTCTGTGGACCTCACAAGTGTTTGAAAGCCATGGCTTTACAATTTTAACGTCATTTTTCTCCAATTCTTTGGCCTCAAAGGGAAATACAAACATGTACTAAGGTCAGAGAAAGTAAGTACAATGAGGTATGATTTTGAGAAGAAGTTAGAAGCAGGGATTAGATTTTTATGGTAGAAACAAAGGAATGAAAAACTGTCTCTTTCCTGCAGAACTGAAGCAGTTAGATGGCCTTGAGAAAGCTTCTCCTTGGACTTGCCCTTGAAAAGTCAAACAAGATGAGGAAAGTGTCCAGGGGAAAGAAAACAGAGATTGTTTAAAGATGACTATGGCCAATAGAAAAGTTCTTGTGAAACTATTTGGAGGGTTTGGAGGTCCCTGGTGCCTCCTATGACATCAGGGCTGAGAACACCTGACTCAGGTTTCCCCAGGCAAATATCCAAATACCAACAGAAGGATAGTAGACCATAGGTTTCAAACCACTTTCAAAGCAGAATGTTTTCTAAAAATTCAAGCCCCATGATTTCCACCTTATTCATGAAGTATCATAACTTCCCGAAAGAACCCAGAATCTTTAATTGTTAAAATCTTCCTAAATGATACTGAAAAAGTCAGCCAACAATAGTTCTTCAACCTGAAGATGAATCAGGACATCAACTGAAATGAAAAGCTCAGAGTGAGTGCCCAGAATGCTGGCTTTGCAGTGTATCCACTGAAAACCTGAGCAATCATGCCAGTGGGTGGGAATTCTGGAGTCTAGATGACAGAGAAGAACACAGATGTTCTTACAGGGGAGAATGCTCAGGACCCCATGCAGGGTCATGAATTTAGAGCCATTAGCCTGGTGGCTCTTGGGTGCCTGAGAATAGCAAACTGCTGACATCTCTGCTTCCAGGTAGTCTGAAGGTACCTGCATCTTCAGTTGTCTGTTTTGATCACACTAAGTCATTGGCCCCTACTCATTCATTTTGATGAACTTTAAAGAAGCTTTGATTTCTAGGAATTCAGGCATCACATTTTTGTCCAACAAGAGTTGCTAGAAGAAATCAGTGCAGAGAATAGGGCCAAGGATTAAGTCTTCATGGCAGAAGAACAGTTCTCTTTCACCTAAAGAAGGTCTCCAAAGACTTATTGTCCAGATCAAAAGCATAGTAAACTCTTCCAAAAGCTATTGTTTATATAATTATGAAAGCCCTGCACCTCAGGCTTGGATGAAGAATAGAAGTTCCTAGAAGTTTGTTACCATGGTAAAGCAGCATTTCTTTTCCTATGCAGCAAAGTGCCATATGCATGGGAAATTTGAAAATGTTGAGGGCTGGAGACAATTCTCCTTGAGGGATAATAGTACAATTCCCATTCTAATCAGAGCACTTTGCTCACTAAGGACATGGGCACAGAAGCCACATGGTGCTGGTAGAGTGCCCCACTTGGAAACCCACAATGCCTAGGGCTATTCCATAATCAACAGGCATTAAAATGATCTAAAACATTCATGATTTCCAATTCTTATCTTCCAGGCCCAACTGGTCACTCAAGTTTCCAATTTGTTATTGCCATTGGAATCAGGATGTCTGATAATTCCCTGCCATGGCTATACATGACTCTATTCTTTAGTGAATGTACTGATATCCAAATCCTGCTTTTTGGACCTCCTTAGACAAAGCCAATTATCTCCATATTGTTCTACTACTGAGTTGGCTCATCAAACTCCATCTGTCATTGTGCCCTCATGAAAAACCAAGTCGCTTGCACGCAGAGCCACTGGCTCTGTGATAAAATGACAGATGCCATCTGTTTTCCTTACCTTGAAAGGTCTTGAACTTCACCTCTTGGATTCTTAAGACCACAGATGTGGCAGAGAACAAACTATGTTCAGTCAACAGTAAGCAGTGGGAATCCTTGTGTGCTGAGTGTTACTCTAGGTGCAATGTCTATGCTGTCATAGAATACATAGGGGACATAAAACATGAGTGCTGATTGGGTATTTTTCAAACATTCCATATCACCAGGTGACTCAGACACTGGAGTACTGGCAGGACTGAGACAGAAGCCTTCTTGACATTGCACTTTCATTATTTTCTCTTCTGGAAACCTTTTAGAAGAATAATGGGTAGATCATCAGAAAAGATATCAGGGAGTATGAGAGTGAGCAAGGTTTTATAAAAAACCACCTTTTAGACAAAATTTACAAAAGGCCTTTAAAGTCATAGCACCAAATAACTATAGTAACTCAGAAAATTCTCTAGTAATATTGAAAAATTGCATACTGCCTGCAAATACAGCCAGTACTTTTGTTTCTGTTTCCCATTTCCATTATAGGTACCAGGGAGGTTTCTCAACAAAGATAGTTCAGCTTCTCTTTCAACCCTTTACCCCTCTAATTTTTCAGACCTTCCAAATTAAGGGGACAAATGGCTGTGACTCTTTCTCTCCTCTCTAAACTGCTTTGTTGCCCCATCCTCCAAAGAACAAAGTTTAAAAAACACACTAAAATTACAAATATCTATTCAAAGGAACATAAGAGGCTGAGTTATTTTCTTGCCCCAGCCAAAACATTACTGGATGACCTTTTTCAGTTATTTAACTTGTCTGGTGGAATTTTTAGAAAGTCAATATTCCTGACAATTTTGTCCACATTCGCATCCTAGAAGACTCCATGCAGACTGGATTTTCTGGTCCAGGTTATTCCTGGGTATCAAGAGGATGAAGTGACAGTGCATGGGATTATTACTGCTTACTAAAGGTGGTAACCATCCCTGCCCAGTGCAGGCCTTTCTCCTGTAAGGATGCACTAAGGCCAGTAACAAGTGATGCTGGGCCAGGAGCCGAGAATCTGGGCTTTTCATTTTCAGTAACACTCCATTAAAAACTCCTCACCTATACTAGGCTTTTAGTTATATGTGAGTCAAGTCATACACGCACACATATGCAATCATTCATTGATTCAACAAATATTCACTGAGCACCTACTCTTTGCCAGCCCAGAGCTAATGACAGTGTAGCTTTTCTCACCATAGGGAACGTACTGCACATGATTTAGACAAGCCATGGCAGGAACAGTTTTATGACAGGGCACCCATGCATTGTTAGGTAAATTCATTCTAAATTAATTTTTCCATATGGAAAATACAGAAGACTGAAAGAAAAATAAATTTCTCTTGCTAAACCAACCAAATAGGACTGACTGTCCTATTTGGTTATATTTTCTCCTGTATTTAATTTTTATTCTAGTTGCTTGATGTAGATGTGTTTATACTGCACTTGTAATTTTCTATCTTGTCTATCTTGTCTGTTTTCCCCACCTATAAACATAATTCATGTTTTTTCCAGGTGCAAAATTCTGAGTCTTGACCGTACACAGGTATTTTCAGAGCTGTGGCCAGTCGCTGAGTAATTTCTAAGACTTCCCCTTTCTCCACTCAGTTTGGAAAGCTACTGTATTTTCTAGAAGCAGCCTCCTCACATTTTTATCCTGTAAAAATTTAAAGAGCTGTCAACTTTAGGTTTTACGCTATGCTATACACCAGTTATGAAACTTACCAGTGTGCATCCTGACAGGAAATAGAATACATGGACATCACCACCATTGTGTCCACAGTATCTGACGGCATGGTAGAGACCGTGCAAATCAGCAGAACTCCAAGCTGCTCTCCCACAGCTCTCAGTCCTCTAGAAGTCAGGCAACTGTGTGACCAGTGTTGGTCAAAGAGCTCTAGACAGGACAGATGTGTGTCACCTCCAGGACAGAACACGTAAGAGTCAACATGGAATTCTCCATCTGTCCAAGAAGATCATGTGTTCCAGGTGACACAGCCACCAAACAGTACAGCGCTCATCAGTTCTGAGTCCTCAAAGAATGAGGAAGCGAAGCCCTCACCAGACTCCACTAAATGTGTAAAGTGAGCAAAAAAAACAAAAACAAAAACAAAAAAACCAATAAAAATTGTGTTGTGGCAGTGAAATTTCATGCTTGTCATTGCATTATTGCACAGTCTTACCTTACTGCTACACACAGTTTTTAGTAAAGTCATTTCAAAGAATAAGCCAAAATATTTTAATTTTTAGTCAACACCCTCAGACATGAGAGCTGGGTGCAATGGCACACATCTCTGATTTCAGCTGCTTAGGAGACTGATGCAAGAGGATAACAAGTTCAAAGGTAGCCTGGATAACTAAGTAAGATCCTGCTCAAGATAAAAGTTAATTAAAACAGGATTAGTGATATAGCTCACTACTACAGTACTTGCCCAGAATGTGCAAGGCCTGGGGTTCAACTCCCCAGTACCACAAAAATAAAAATCAGACAAGAGGTAAATATGAGTAATATGTATTTTCTTGCTCTCAGAATTTTCTCCAGTGGGTCCACCCCCCGGAAACATGCAAACAGCTTTCTAGTTATTTGTTCTCCCAACTCATCAAACATCAAAAGTCTATACTGGATACATCTTAAGCTCAACCTGGGTGATAGATATACTGACCACACTGATCCTAACCATGATACATAATCAGAAGTGGGAAAAAACAAGAGTAGAAAAGGACAAAGGACCTGATAGATTTATCAACAAAGAAGTTATACAGACAGCAAATAAGCATATGAAACCACACTCACCATCATAGGTCACTAAGCAACCCAAGCTAGAACATCAGTGAAATAAAAACGCAAACAATGACAATAACAAATGCTGAAAAAGATGTGGGGCAATGAGAATTCTCATTCATTGCTGGTGGAAATGCACAATAGCATAAACACTTTGGAAGACACACAGTTTCTTACAAAATTGGCAGTTTCTTACAAAATTAAATATACTCTTACCATATAATCCAGTAATTATAATCCATGGTATTTACCCAGAGGATTTGAAAACAGACCCACACAAAGTTTTATCTGAACACAGATATTTATAGCAGCTTTATTCACAATTGCCAAAACTTGGAAGCTGCCAAGACATCTTTCAGTAAGTAAATAGATAAATAATCAGTGACACAAGCAGACAATGTGGCACTAAGAGAAATGAGATACCAAGCTCCATGAAAATATATGGAGGGAATTTAAAAGCATATTACTAAATGGAAGAAATCAATATGGATAAGCAATGCATTGTGTAATCCCAGTGTGACATTCTTGTATAGGAAAGACTATGGAGACAGTGAAATAATCAGTGTTTATGAGAGGTTGGGGGAAGACAAGGATGAGTCAGTGCAGCCAGAATAGTTTAGACCAGTGACTCTATTTTGGATAATCCATAGTATTAAACATTTGCCCAAAGCCATAGAATATATAGTACCAAGGATGAACCCCCATGTAAAATCTGGGTTCTGTTTTTGTTTTTGTTTTTGTTTTTGAGACAGAGTCTCACTATGTAGTTGAGACTGACCTAGAACTCATTATGTAGCCCAGGCTGGTCTCAAACTCACAGTGATCCTCCTGCCTCAGCCTCCCGAGGGCTGGGATTACAGGCATGCACCACCATGCCCAGCTTAAAATGTGGGTTCTGGATGATAATGATGTGTGAATATTGGCTCTTGGGTTGTAACTAATACTCTACGCAGGTGTGGACTACTGGTAGAGAGGGAAGCAGTGTGTATATCGAGGGAGGAATTGCATGGGAAATCTCTAACCCTTTTATTAAATTTTCCTGTAACCCTAAAATGGCTCTAAAAATCATCTATTTAAAAATAAAAATCACAACTAGATAATGGCAAATGAAGGCAACAAATGAAAAAAAACTGCAATTCTTACCAGTTAGATTGGTGTTGGTGGTACTAGTATTGCTCTGAGCCTACTGTGTTTGTAAAAACATATAGTATAAAATTTGAATTGGAAGTGGCAAAATTAAATCATGAGGTATATTTGTCTTGAAAAATATGTAGATATTTCACAGTATGTCCACTGTGAAGTCCTAGAAATAATGACCAATAAAGAGGTAATAAATGTATTTTGTGCCTGCATTATAGTTTAGAAATACCATTTCTTATTCAAATAAGCCAGGAATTTTTGAGAAATAAAAGATTCCAGGACTAAAGCAGGGCATATACAAGAAGAGCATAGAATATTTTTTCACACCAGATGGCGAGGAAGCTACCAAAGATTACTAAGGTCACATCAAAAGGATTCAAGTCTCAGTAGAAGAGGCTGTCCCTGGCCAAAGATCACACAAATTGAACTGCATAAGAATAAGAACAGTGGCTTGAAACAGATCGAATATGTTGGTTATTTTTATAAATATGTTATTCAAGATAATTAAAATAAAAAATTAATTTTTGGAAGATGATGAGAATTATTCATTACCTTGAAACCACTGAAGAATAAAATCAAGCATTTACTTTGCCTTTCCTATCTGAGCAGCAACACATTAATCAAATAATAGATGAACATAAATGCTTTCTATAAAAATATCCAACATTCCACCAAAAGACTCCAAGAATTAGTAATTAAATTCAACAATGTAGCAGGATACAAAATCCACACACAAAAATCAATAGCATTTCTGTATACCAATAGTGAATGCTTATTGGCCTTCTAGCTAAGATCAAGTGTATACCAATAATGAACTCATGGAGAAAGGAATTAGGAAAACAGTACCATTTACAATAGCATCAGGACAAATTAAATGCTTAGGAATTAACTTAACCAAAGCTCTCCATAATGAAAACTACAGTACTCTGAAAAAGGAGATCAAACAGAACTTCAGAAAATGGAAAGATAGCCTTTATTCCTAAATAGGACAGAACCAATATAGTCAAAATGGTTATAATTTCAAAACTGATATACAGATTTAACACAATCCCAATCAAAATATCAATAGCATCCCTCATAGAACTAGAAAAAATAATCCTAAGATTCACCTGGAACCAAAAGAGATCCAGAATAGCTAAGGCAATCCTGGGTCAAAAGAGCAAAGCAGGAAACATCACAATCCCACACATAAAGTTATATTACAAAGCTACAGTGATCAAATCATCATGACACCAGCACAAAAACAGACAAGTGGTTCACTGGAACAGAATAGAAGATAAGAAACAATCTTAGGCATATACAACTATTTGACTTCTCACCAAAAGACCAAAACTATATTTGGAGGAAAGAGAGCTTCTTTATTAAATGGTGCTGGGGAAATTAGCTATCCACATGCTAAAGACTGAATCTAGACCTAAATCTAGACCGAAAATGAAAATGTAACAAAGATTTAAATGGTAAAACAGAAACACAATCTGTGTGAAGATAAAATATGTGAAGTACCTGAAGACATAGCCATAGGAAAGGGCTTTCTAATCAGAACTACAGTGGCACAAGAAAGAGTTCCAAGGATCAACAAGTGGGATAATATCAAAGTAAAAACCTGCTGCACAGCAAAGAAAACAGTAAAGAGAGTGAAGATAAAACCTTTAGAAAATGAAAAATATATATATATATATATGATAGGTAAACCTTAGACAGAGGACTAATGTCTAAAATATATAAGGAACTCAAAAAAATTAGAACCCCCCCAAATAAAAGACCCAATCAAAAAATGGGCAAGTGAAATGAATAGACATTTCTCAGAAGTAGAAAGAGTCAGGCCAGGGATTTAGCTCAGTGGTTCCGCCACCTGCCTGGCAAGTGCAAGGACCAGAGTTCAATCCCCGGTACCAAACCAAGAAAAAAAAGTACAAAGAGCCAATAAATATATGAAAACATGTTCAATTCCATGGCCGTGACAGAAATGCAAATTGAAACAATACTGCTATTTCCTCTTACTTCAGAAGAATGGCTATCATCAAGAAATCAAATAATAACAAATGCTGGTGAGGCTTCAGGGGATAAAAGAACTCTTATACATTGTTAGAGGTTATGGAACTGGCACAGTCACTATGGAAATCAGTATGGAGGTTTCTCAAAAACTGAAACTAGATATTTCACTTGACCCACTTATCCTTCTAGGTATCTTTCAGAAAGACTAAAAGACATCATATTACAGCAATACTTGCACACCCACATTTATACTAGCACAATTAAAAATAGCTATATCTTGGAAGTACCCTATGTGTCCATCAACAGACGAATGAGTAAAGAAATGTGATATTTATACACAACAGAGTGTAAAATTGTTTGAGTCATTTGTAGGAAAATGGATGCACCTTGAGCCCATAATGGTGAAATAAATCAGACACACAAGTTTAAATATCACATGGTTTCTCTTATATGAGAAACTCAAAATACAAATGAAAAGCAAAATAAAAGGTAGATAATAGGAAGTAGGGAGTTAGATAATTTTCAAATGGGAAGGGGATCAAGAAATGGAAGGGGGACGGAGAGGAGGGAAAAGGGATGAAAAAAGAATTGAGATACGTTATGTACATGTACCCACTCCTCACAAGGAATGCAATCATTATGTCCTGGGAACATAAAAAATAAAAACTAAAAAAACAGGGAATATGCCAAGTAGTAAATGAAAAGATAGTTATAATAGTATGCTGCCCACAATAAGTTAGTGGTTCTAGGCACAAAACATCAGTATCTTCTTTGGCAACCGACATCATGTACTTCCAGAGGTACCATCTGTAGTCTTGACAAAGATATAGACCTTGAGTCTCCACAGGCCTCCAAATTTAACTGCTAGTTTGCAGGAATATTGAAACACGAATGTTGCAGGAATAAAGAAACACATCAGGAGTGAATGATTGGCCACATCAAACTGCAAAAAAACTATAGCTCAAATGCTCTAGGTTGTTCACCAGATAAACTGTAGGAAAACTTTGGAAGGGAGAACTATAGGTTTAAAGAGATTTTTAAAACATGTCAACAGTGTAAGAATGAACGAAACTATAGTATTTAGAAATTCCAGTTTGGCAGTAAAACCACATAAGACAAATAAAAAAGAAGGTAATTTCTATAG